ACTAAATTATTGGCTCTATAACCATTCTCTATTGGGCAACATTGTTATCCGCATGATTTTTTCCATTAACATGAAGGTTTTGAATCATCGGAGGGTTCAAATTCCCTGCCACTAACCTCTTAATTTCCTAGATTGCTTGTGTAACCTTTGCATCTACTGCTTGCTGTAGATCTGTAATGGAACCAACCATACCTTTTATAGATCCTTTCAATGTGTCAACTTCTCTTCGTAATTCTTGCATACGAGTGATGTGTCACCCATGGTAGCAGGTCATAGGAACACTGCTCTGATACCAATGATACACACTTCACAGAATTAGAAAGAGGACAAGCTTAACCTAAGGAACAAATGAACATAATTGCTGCAGAACAATTTGAGCTCGATAGGGAGAAGAAGAAGAAGAAGAAGAAAGAGGAGGAGAGGGAGAAGGAGGAGGAGGAGGAGGAGAAGAAGAAGAAGAAGAAAAAGAAGAAGCGGAGAAGAGTTGAGAGAGATAAGAAATCTTATTGATTAATTGTTGAATGAAATCTACAGCTGGATCCACTGCTATGTATTTGAGAGGGAAGGGGAATTTCGAAAGTTAGTTATAACTAACTTTTTGACAGCTACAACTAATAATCACATGCTGCACATGCCTCTTAACTACCAACTAATTACAATGATTAATCCCTCAACTAAAATACAAAATTTGTAATTAAAATAGCTAAATTGGGAAATCAACTGGATTAACTCGTATCAGATAAAATAATAAAACACACTTGCCTTCTGTGATAGGTGTGACCACGTATATTTCGGGCACGTTATCTGCTGGTGGCGTCGACTTTTCCGATGAATCGGCAGTATCATCATCTACCTGAAACCAATCATCCAAAAAAAAGAAGCAATTGACTCACCGAACAGTAAACGAATAAAGAAATAAAAACTAATTGAAGTGGAAATTAGTAAGAAGCTTTTGTTGCTTTGGATAAGAAGGTTTATTATTAGAAGCTGATGATGACCTCTTTTTCACGGCTAGGGGTGACAAATGGGCGGGTCGCACCGAAGATGGGCGGGTTGAAAAGGGTAATGCAAAAATGAATAAATTATGCGACCTGACTCATATTTAATACGGATAAAAAAGGATTAACTGGCGGATAATATGAATATCCATATTATCTATGACTTCTTGAATATGATCACTTTTGAAAAAATTCCTAGTATCCCAAACTTGAGGAATTCTCAATTTGAGGTTTTACAAATATAAAAGTTAAACCCATTAGTTATTCATTGAGTATCCATTAGTTAACCATTTTCTAAGAGGATAATATGGTTATTATCCATATTTGACCCGTTTTTAAAAAGTTCATTATCCAACCCATTACTTAGTGGATAATATGGATAGATAACTATTTTCTTTTAATTATTTTGCTATCACTATTTACAGCCAATAGTAGAGAACCACTACCATTTTCTAGAAAGAGCTTGAAGTTTTGGTTTTTCGCTTCTTTCTTGTTTTGGTTAGTTTTTGTATGATATGATTACTGTTTTATTGCTTTTTGAAGGGGCAGACACGTTGGGTGCGTGACAAACTGCACAAAAAGAGCTATTAGATGCACAAATTTAAATAGAGATTATAGGAACAATAAAGAAACTTAATATGCCTAGGAAATTGAATAGTTGTAGGCGTTTCTCACTACTAGAAATTCGGTAAAATCGATCACGGTCGACCGATCAATATTGATCGGTCACAAAACCAACCAAAAAATCGATCAAAGTTGGTCGGTTTTTCAAAATATTTTATTTTTTAATTTTTTTTACGAAACCGACCGACTTTGGTAGGTTTTCTTTGGCGCAAAAATGCGGGAAACTATTTTTGAGCCCCGCGAAATTTATTTTTCAAGAAACCGACCAACTTTGGTAGTTTTTTATTTAAAATAAATTAAAATTAATATTAAAAAACCGACCGAAATCGGTCGGTTAATTTGGCCGGTCATTTTAAAAAACCGACCGAATTCGGTCGGTAATTTTATTTTTTAATAAAACCGACCAACTTTGGTCGGTTATGTTCATGCGAAAATATAATTAAAAAGTATAAATGAAATCAAAGACAGTCTTAAAAAAAAATGCACCAATGGTCTAGTGGTAGTTAGAGGATTGTTTTTCTGAGGCCTAGATCACACCTGGAGTGTGACTAGGATTATGTTGTTATTAATGGTAAATTCACAGTACAACAATAACAACAAACTCAGTATATTAGTGTGTGCGCAGATCTTACCCCTACTTAGTGAAGATAGAGAGACTGTTTCCAGTAGACCCTCCGCACAAAAAGGATGAGAAGAGGAAGAAGAATGAAGAGAAAAGAGAGAAAGGAAAAAAAAGGGGAGGGTGGGGGGAATAAATAGTACTATATAATAACAACAGGGAATATGGTACCTAAAGCGAACTAAACCACGTGATGTAATAAAGATCTAAGAATATGAAGGAACATGAGTGCTACTAAAACTACTGGTAAGAAAAGGAGAATCTTTCAACTATCTACTAATATTCTACCCTAATCCTCGACCTCCACACCCTCCTATCAATAGTCAGGTCCTCAATAAGCTAAAGTCGCGCTATATCCTGCCTAATCACCGCTCCCTAGTACTTATTTGGCCTACCTCGACCTCTCCTCAAACTCGCCAAGGCCAATATCTCGCACATCCTAACAGGAGCATCAATATTTCTCCCCTTTACATGCCCGGACCATCTTAACCTCGACTCTCGCATCTTGTCCTCCACGGAGATCACTCCCACTTTGTCCCGAATGGATTCGTTCCTAATCTTTTCGCTCCTGGTACGCTCACTCATCCATCTCAACTTCCTCATTTCTGCTACTTTCATCTTCTGCACATGGGAGCTCTTGATTGGTCAACACTCAGCCACATATAGCATAGTTGGTTGAACCACCACTTTGTAAAATTTACCCTTAAGTCTGGGCTAGGGGTGTACATAGGTCGGGTTGGTTAAGATTTTTCAATTATCAAACCAAACCAATGGTGTCGGGTTGTTAAATTTATAAACCAAACCAAACCAACAAAGTCAGGTTTTTCAATCTCGATTTTTCTCGGGTTTTCGGTTTTTTTTTTAGATTTTTGGGTTTTTTCCGGTAAAGTCTTCATAGCATAAAATATGTAACTTGTGCTCCAAATATTTCTTAAGTCCTAGTAAAATACAACTACATAATGCGTTTTCCAAGAAACTAACACAATAATATGAGATAAGGATAAAATAATAAAATTACATAAAACAAATATTGCTAATTAATAAACCATAATAAAAATCAACATAATCTAAAAATACTATATAGGTCATGCTAAAATAAGTATAGCTAATAAGTACTAATATTAATTATATAACTAAGCATTAAAGAAAAAGATAAACTAAGTTATGCATTTTCATTATAAACCAATGTAAAACTAAAATAATTATCCAATACTATCGTCATTCCTAGTATTGAATTGAATTTCTTTTGTTAGTATTAGTATTGATTTGAACTTTATTTGAGTTACTACATTTGTGGGCTATAAAATTTATTTACCATTCAAGAATATTAAGTCTAAACTTGAAATAATACGTTAAAAGATAAAACTGTGAAAAAGCTTAAGAAATATTTATAAATTATATTACAATAAATATTTATATGTGTAAAATATTTTTAAAATTTATATAAATGTACTATCGGTTTGGTTTGGTTTTGGTTTGACTTTTTTTAGTTAAAACCAAACCAAACCAATTATGGTCGGGTTTTATTTTTCTATGCCAAACCACATCGGGTTTTTTTTCGGTTTGACTCGGATTATCGGTTTGGTGCGGTTTATCGATTTTCTTTGTACACCCCTAGTCTTGGCGGCACATTCTTATCACATAAAATATTATATGCGAGTCTCTATTTTATCTATCCCGCTTCAATACGGTATCCGACATCCTCGTCAATCTCCGTGTTACCTTGGATAAAAGACGCGAGATACTAATGGTAAATTCACAGTATTACCAAAGACATAATAATTTCAAATTCAGTTAACTTCTCCCAGAATCACTAATATTTTCTTTTTGGGTAAAACGCATAGCATTTATGAACCTTTATTTCTAAATTTGGTAATAAGTTGTAGCACTAAACATCCGAAATCTAGCTGGGTTTTAAATTTTAGGAACAAATTACTAATTAACTATGAATAACTTCTATGAAGAGTAAAAATTATAGAAAACATTATTCTCGGTGACAATTCGTAATGAGTTAGCTTATATTTGGTTTATACATTTTTTATTAGGGGATAGTTCGTCAATATATCAAGTATCAAAATATCATTTTCTTTGTAGCTAATATCTCATGAAAATTTTACGGTATTTAATTTTTGAAGTTGAAGCAAATAGGTTGTAAAATAATTAATTTTAATGTCACTTTAGGTACGTAACTTTTTCAGACTATCACAAAATTATGTAAATTATTTTTAATTTTTATTGTTATTTGCTCTTAATAGGCTAAATGAAAGCAGTCGATCATCTTCAAAGTAATATGTCCTTATTGTTGTGATTTTCGTTTTATGGTTTTTTAAATTTATTTAATACACAATAATATGTTCTTCACTATTTAAATCAAACACTCCTTTACATACAAAGAATGTAAATATACATTCAAATAAATACTATAGTAGATATAAATTTTCAATAACTACTATCATTGTAATTTTTTAACACAATATTAAATTCTAGAAAATCTTTCATAATGACACGGCAATTGCATATCAAATATACACATATAATAGTATTTATACAAATTTTAAAAAATATTTACTCATTAATATAGATATACACTCAAAGCTAGTACCCTCAAATTGTCTAATAGCATTGAGATTAAAAATTTCTAAGTAATCATTTCTTTTTTCTTCCGTGTGCAGACAAAAAAAGGTCCAAAATCAGACAAGTAAAGGAGGAGACCGTAGTCCGTTAGTTACACAGGAAAGGATTGGGAAAGATGGAGTGTCTTACCATTGTTGGAGCAAATCCTTTTGTTTCTTCTTCACTTCGTACACCCTCTTCCAAAATCACCAACTTTTCCTGCAGTCTTATCATCCCAAACGCCGTTGTTCCGAAGCACCACTTAGCTGCATTGCGACCAGTATTTCATCTTCTCTTATGCCCCCAAAAGGCACCATAGAACCCGCATTTTCCTACCCCATTTGGTTGCTTCCATGGTAATTCCTTTTTTACTTTCTCAACATATATATGCAGTAAGAAGTAATATGATATAAAAGTTACTGACTGCCCAATAAAGATTTTTGCCACCCAACTTCTTTTTTGCCCCTTAAACTCTGCCAATTTGAGCTACTAGTCACGAGCCCACGTAGGAGAGTTGTAAATTGAGAACCATTGTAAAAATAGTGTAATTATGATATTGCCTGATTAATTTGGGATTGGGGCTTAGTTGGCTGATTTATTTATCATTAGAGTACTATTTTGTTGGAATTTGTGTTCAGGAAGAAGTGGAGCAAACGTACAATGCTGAGCCACAATCAGAGGAGACCTTGCTGTTCAAACTGGAAGGTTGTGCCATATATATTATTATCATCTTATTCATTTGTGTATGTTCAGTAAGTACCGAGTTATGGTATTTAGAAGTGTTTCGATGTTGACAAATTTACAAGATTTTGATGGCAATTTATGTGCAGAAATGTGGTACATGGAAGTGATAGCCCTGACAATGGCAAGCGTGAAATAGGTCAGTTCTTTCCTAGTTTAGCAAATTAGTTGAGTAACATGTAGAATCAACTTAATATGGCGTCCCCGTCATGTTACTAAATTTTTTCACCCATTTGAGCTGCTAGTTGGACATGAATGAAAACTCGTACCACAATCTTTACAGATTAAACAGGGATGACTTCGGTTTTAGTATTTATGAGAGAAAGCAAATGAAAGCAAAAGTTTTACTTTTTTTCCTTCTTCTGTTTGATAATGAAGCGAGTGAAAGGGCAAGAGTTTTTCCTTTATCATCACAAAGGACTCTCTAATATGATATCAAGATGTGCGGATAAGTCAGCTGTTGACCAAATAATAAGGCTTAGAAATTTTACTGCTGTAGATTACGTTTTTCATTGAACAAAATGAGCTCACATTATTGTCTAAAGATGATAATGGCGCAGTACCTTCACCCTGGGACATCCAACCTCAAGGCTTGAGGGGTTTGCTTTGAGTGCATTCTGACCAGATTGTGTTTTCTCCAATTTGAAAACACTTGCGTTTATTTTTTCACCACAGTGATTATTAAGCATTTTATCAGGTCTTTCATGCCTATTCACGAGTTTGTGATTGAGGAATAGTTGATTTATTGATTTCATGCTTCCACTCAGCAAGTGTGTATATGGAGGAAAAGAACGTAGTTTCAGTAATTATGTCCTCCAATTCACTGCTTCACTTTCTCTCTCTCACCGCCATCACTCCTATTTCTGCTCCTATTCGTGTTTTCTTTTTCATAATTTACATGAGTGCTGTCAGATGAATCTATTTGTTAGGGCGGAAGTCTGAGGAAAGACCCAACATGAAGTTAAGTTCACGATGATAATGTACTTATATGGAAGTACCCCTTCTTTTCAGTTTTGTACAAGTTTTATAAACTCCATAGTAAAACCAGAATACTCAGAATTATGTCTGTTTACCCGAAAAATCGGATAACGTTAAATTTAGATATGGTTCTAAGGGTATGCGAATCC